CCCTTTAATTGTTTCTGCTAGACCAACATATTTCCCCGGGGAACCTGTAAATACTTCTGCTACGAAAAAAGGTTGTGACAAGAAACGCTCAATTTTTCGTGCTCTTGCTACGGTTAAGCGGTCTTCTTCGGATAATTCGTCCAACCCAAGAATAGCTATAATGTCCTGAAGTTCTTTGTAACGTTGTAAAGTTTGTTTAACTCTTTGCGCAGTTTCATAATGTTCTTCACCAACAATCCGAGGTTGGAGCATAGTTGACGTTGAATCTAAAGGATCTACTGCTGGATAGATGCCTTTGGCGGCCAATCCTCTTGATAGTACGGTAGTCGCATCTAAATGTGCAAATGTCGTGGCCGGAGCTGGATCAGTCAAATCGTCCGCGGGTACATAAACTGCTTGAATAGAAGTTATGGACCCCTCTTTGGTAGAAGTAATTCTTTCTTGTAAAGAACCCATTTCAGTACTAAGAGTGGGTTGATAACCTACAGCGGAAGGCATTCTGCCTAATAAGGCGGATACTTCGGATCCTGCTTGGACAAAACGAAAGATATTGTCAATAAATAGAAGTACGTCTTGTTCATTAACATCTCGGAAATACTCCGCCATAGTTAGAGCAGTTAAACCAACTCTCATACGAGCCCCTGGTGGTTCATTCATCTGACCATAGACTAGAGCCACTTTTGATTCGGCAATATTTTGTTCATTAATTACGCCAGATTCTTTCATTTCCATGTAAAGATCATTTCCTTCACGGGTACGTTCACCTACTCCGCCAAATACGGATACGCCCCCATGAGCTTTGGCAATGTTGTTGATCAATTCCATAATGAGTACTGTTTTACCTACTCCAGCACCCCCGAAGAGTCCTATTTTTCCTCCACGGCGATAAGGGGCTAAAAGATCTACTACTTTAATTCCTGTTTCAAAAATCGATAATTTTGTATCTAATTGTATAAAGGCAGGTGCAGATCTATGAATAGGAGATGTTGTGCGAGTATCTACCGGACCTAAATTATCAATGGGCTCCCCAAGTACGTTGAAAATTCGTCCTAGTGTCGCTCCGCCGACTGGAACACTTAAAGGAGCTCCTGTGTCAATCACATCCATTCCTCTCATTAGACCATCTGTAGCACTCATAGCTACAGCTCTAACTCGATTATTTCCTAATAATTGCTGTACTTCACAAGTCACATTAATTTGTTGATCAACAGTATCTCGACCCTTAACTATCAAAGCATTGTAAATATTAGGCATTTTCCCCGGTGGAAAAGCTACATCCAGTACCGGACCAATGATTTGAGAAATACGCCCCAGGTTTTTGTTTTCAAGCGCGGGAACCCCAGGACTAGAAGTAGTAGGATTTATTCTCATAAAAAAGAAAATATGTCAAAATTTTTTGTGAAATTGAAATCAAAAATAAAGGTTCGAGAGCAAAGCAAGTTAAGTTGATCGGTTAATTCAATTAAGAGATGGGCGTTAGCACTTGATTTCGTTGTTAACAAATATTCAACCGATGTTTAGTTATTTTTTTTTATTCAATTTCAATGAGTGAATTTTCAAGTTCAACCAAAATCCATTAAACTCCAGTTTCAAATTCAAAATAAATATCAAGCGGATGAATAAAAATTTTGAGAAAGCCGTGGAATTCGAACCCGAACTCCATTTACGCTTCATTTTTCTATCTCATTGGCTCTTATTTCCTATTTCAACATATCGATGTAGGCTTAGCCTATATATTATTTTAGAATATTTTATTTTTTATATCTATACCCCTTCTTTCTTTTCATGGACAAATTTCGCCTGTTTTTACATCTAATCTAGGATTTACATATACAACATATATTACTGTCAAGGGCGAATTTCTTATATATTTTGATTCAAAAAAAAAGGATACGAGATTAGAAACTTGAAAAAACAAGATTGGGTTGCGCTATATATATGAAAGAGTATACAATAATGATGTATTTGACGAATCAAATACCACGGTCTAATAACGAACCGTTCGTTATGATCAGTTGATAATATTAGTTGATAATTTTGTGAAAGATTCCTGCGATAAGGTTTCATTAACTCCTAATTCATGTCGAGTAGACCTTGTTATTGCGAGAATTCTTAATTCATGAGTTGTAGGGAGGGACTTATGTCACCACAAACAGAGACTAAAGCAAGTGTTGGATTCAAAGCTGGTGTTAAAGATTATAAATTGACTTATTACACTCCGGAATATCAAACCAAAGATACTGATATCTTGGCAGCATTTCGAGTAACTCCTCAACCTGGAGTTCCCCCTGAAGAAGCAGGGGCTGCGGTAGCTGCTGAATCTTCTACTGGTACATGGACAACTGTATGGACTGATGGGCTTACCAGCCTTGATCGCTACAAAGGTCGATGCTACCACATCGAGCCCGTTGCTGGAGAAGAAAATCAATTTATTGCTTATGTAGCTTATCCCTTAGACCTTTTTGAAGAAGGTTCTGTTACTAACATGTTTACTTCCATTGTGGGTAATGTATTTGGGTTCAAGGCCCTGCGCGCTCTACGTCTGGAAGATTTGAGAATCCCTACTTCTTATACTAAAACTTTCCAAGGTCCGCCTCATGGGATCCAAGTTGAGAGAGATAAATTGAACAAGTATGGTCGCCCACTATTGGGATGTACTATTAAACCTAAATTGGGGTTATCCGCTAAGAATTACGGTAGAGCAGTTTATGAATGTCTTCGCGGTGGACTTGATTTTACCAAAGATGATGAGAACGTAAATTCCCAACCATTTATGCGTTGGAGAGACCGTTTCTTATTTTGTGCAGAAGCAATTTATAAATCACAGTCTGAAACAGGGGAAATCAAAGGACATTACTTGAATGCTACTGCAGGTACATGTGAAGAAATGATGAAAAGGGCTGTATTTGCCAGAGAATTGGGAGTTCCTATCGTAATGCATGATTACTTAACAGGAGGATTCACTGCAAATACTAGTCTGGCTCATTATTGTCGAGATAATGGTCTACTTCTTCACATCCACCGTGCAATGCATGCGGTTATTGATAGACAAAAGAATCATGGTATACACTTCCGTGTACTAGCTAAAGCGTTACGTATGTCTGGTGGAGATCATATCCATTCAGGTACTGTAGTAGGTAAACTTGAAGGGGAAAGAGAAATCACTTTAGGCTTTGTTGATTTACTACGTGATGATTTTATTGAAAAAGATCGAAGCCGTGGTATTTATTTCACTCAAGATTGGGTCTCTCTACCAGGTGTTCTGCCTGTGGCTTCAGGGGGTATTCACGTTTGGCATATGCCTGCTTTGACCGAGATCTTTGGAGATGATTCCGTACTACAATTTGGTGGAGGAACTTTAGGACATCCTTGGGGAAATGCACCCGGTGCTGTCGCTAATCGAGTAGCTCTAGAAGCATGTGTACAAGCTCGTAATGAGGGACGTGATCTTGCTCGTGAGGGTAATGAAATTATTCGTGAGGCTTGTAAATGGAGTCCTGAACTAGCTGCTGCTTGTGAAGTTTGGAAGGAAATCAAATTTGAATTTGAAGCAATGGATACGTTGTAATCCAGCAATTACTTTCTGTTCCTTGTTCTTATTCTTAAATTGAATTTTGAATTGAAATTAAACTCGGCCCAATCTTTTACTAAAAAGATTGAGCCGAATACAAGGATACTATTGGATACATTTTTGATAGATCCATACTTAATATACAAGATCTTAAATACAAAAAAAGAGAAGACGAAACCACTTAAATCTTTCTATTGTTTGTTGGATTCACAATTAATTCTGAATCCTTAAGATTTGGGTATTCTTTTTTATTTTATTTATATTATTTCTATGTATATCCTGCGGTTTCGGATCATGGATCGAGTCGAATATCACAACTTCTTCTACCCATCTTATATATTGTCCTTTTCGTTTTTTGTTATAATAGAAACTGTTTAGTAGGCGAGATTTTACGAAAAAGTTCTTCAGATTTATTGGAGAGAACCATTATTTCTTTTTTTCAATGCGAATTTGACACAGCATGGGGAACCTACTATTTCACATTAATTATTTATAATTGAAAAGTGGGTTTCATCCTATTTTAGCATATATAGCAAAACGATACTACGGGTTCTCAAAAAAGAAAAAAAAAAATTTTCAGTACCCCACTTCATCAAATGACTATTCATCTATTGTATTTTCATGTAAATAGGGGCAAGAAAGTTCTATGAACAAGCGACGATTTGATTCAATGTTGTTTAGCAGGGTATTAGAATACAGGTGTGGGCTAAGTAAATCAATAAATAGTCTTGGTGATCCTATTGAAAATACCAGTGTAAATGAAGATCAAATTCGAAATGATATGGATAAAGACATCCCTAGTGGGAATGATAGTGACAATTCTAATTACAGTAATGTTGATCATTTAATCGGCGTCAGGTACATGCGGAATTTCATACCTGATGACACTTTTTTAGTTAGGGATAGTAATAGGGATAGTTACTCTATATATTTTGATATTGAAAATCAAATTTTTGAGATTGACAACGACCCTTCTTTTCTAAGTGAACCAGAAAATTCTTTTTATAGTTATCAGAATTCTAGTTATCTGAATAATGTATCGAAGACTGATGATCCTCGCTATGATCATTACGTATATGATACAAAATATAGTTGGAATAATCACATTACTAGTTGCATTGACAATTATCTTCGTTATCAAATATGTATTGATAGTTACATTTTAACTAGTAGTGACAATTACAATGACAGTTACATTTATAGTTATATTTGTGGCGAAAGAGGAAATAGTAATGAAAGCGGGAGTTCCTCTATAAGAACTAGTACGGATAAGAGTGATTTAACTAGAAGAGAAAGTTCTAATGATTTAGATGTAACTCAAAAATATAGACATTTGTGGGTTCAATGTGAAAATTGTTATGGATTAAATTATAAGAAATCTTTGAAATCAAAAATGAATATTTGTGAACATTGTGGATGTCATTTGAAAATGAATAGTTCAGATAGAATAGAACTTTTAATTGATCCAGGTACTTGGGATCCTATGGATGAAGACATGGTCTCTCTGGATCCTATTGAATTTCATTCGGAGGAGGAACCTTATAAAGAGCGTGTTGATTCTTATCAAAGAAAGACAGGATTAACTGAGGCTGTTCAAACAGGTACAGGTCAACTAAATGGTATTCCCGTAGCAATTGGGGTTATGGATTTTCAGTTTATGGGAGGTAGTATGGGATCTGTAGTGGGCGAGAAAATAACACGTTTGATCGAGTATGCTACCAATCAAAATTTACCGCTCATTCTAGTGTGTGCTTCCGGAGGAGCGCGCATGCAAGAAGGAAGTTTGAGCTTAATGCAAATGGCTAAAATATCTTCTGCTTTATATGATTATCAATCAAATAAAAAGTTATTTTATGTAGCAATCCTTACGTCTCCTACTACGGGTGGGGTGACAGCTAGTTTTGGTATGTTGGGAGATATCATTATTGCGGAACCCAATGCCTACATTGCATTTGCGGGTAAAAGAGTAATTGAACAAACATTGAATAAGACAGTACCGGAGGGTTCACAAGTGTCTGAATATTTATTCCATAAGGGCTTATTCGATCTAATTGTACCACGTAATCTTTTAAAAGGCGTTCTGGGTGAGTTATTTCAGCTCCATGCTTTCTCTCCTTTGAATCAAAATTCAATCAAGTAGAAATTTATAAGCCTTAATTTAATAAACTCTACATTTTTTTTTGTTTGATGGTGAAAAATAGTGATTTCGCTTCATAGTATAGGAATCAAAGTCAAAACACGAAGAATGGATTTCTCTTTTGTAACATAAGATTTAATTCGAGAAAGAATCATGCGTATATATCTTTTTTTATTGATATTCCTGATCTTGATTCCTGATTAGGAATCAAGAACTCTCCATCAAACAAAATAAACAGAGTGAATTCTTTCTCCCTTTGCCGTGAAATTAGGCAAGAAAGTCCTGCGTCTTTCTATATCCCCCCAGAACCCTGGTTTTACTAAAAATCCCTTGTGTTGGATCATATTATAACGAATTATTCGTTAATTTAGAAGAAGCTTTTTCTTTAATTTTATTAAATGAAAATATCATTCTAAAGAAAAAAAAAAATGAAATTTTGAATAGCCTAATAAATAGACTAATAATAAGAATTATTAAAATCAACAACGACGGAAATAATAAATCAAAGTGGATTATCATACATATATTATATGTATAAACATATAACAAGTATTATATGTATAAACATATAACAAGATGAATAAGCTCATTTATTTACACTTTTATTTACATTTATTATATACTTAATATTATCTAGTTTATATATTATTTAATATTCTCTTTCTATATACTCACTTAAGTATTAAGTATAATTATAATAGTATAATTATATATGAAGGATAAGATATCTTTATAACAGGTTAAAATCTTAATATAATAACAAATATACCAATAAATAACAGGTACAAATATTAAATCGAGGTACCCATTCTATGACAACTATCAGCAACTTACCCGCTATTTTTGTTCCTTTAGTGGGCTTAGTATTTCCGGCAATTGCAATGGTTTCTTTATCTCTTCATGTTCAAAAAAACAAGATTTTTTAGATATTATGAGGTTAAATCTCCTCTATTTTTTTTTCAAGACTTCGGCAGATGGATTATAGCAAAAATATCTATTTAGTAGAATATGGGATAACATGTAGCTTACTCCGAGCAGAAGCTCGTATTCACGCATAAACATAATATATGATTAAATGCATTATAGCTATTTGAAAATAGATCAGTATTTGTTATTGGGATGAATCTGAAAGAAACGTAAAGTCAATATATCTACATGTCCGTGGATATCTATAAGAAATCATATGAAAAAGATGTTATTATTTTTGTTTAGCTCTAAGCAATTGATGAATTACTCCTAAAGCTTTACATCATATATAGTACTAGTTGATGAGGGTTATTTACGGAAACAAAAAAAATGAAAGTCAAATTTATTGGGGGATAACTCCAATTACAATAAAATGCAACTAGATCTAGTATGAGTTGGCGATCAGACCGGATATGGATAGAACTTATAGCGGGGTCTCGAAAACTGAGTAATTTCTGCTGGGCCGTTATCCTTTTTTTAGGTTCATTAGGATTTTTATTGGTTGGAACCTCTAGTTATCTTGGTAAGAATTTTATACCCTTATTTCCCCCTCAGCAAATCATTTTTTTTCCACAAGGACTCGTGATGTCTTTCTATGGACTCGCGGGTCTTTTTTTTAGTTCCTATTTGTGGTGCACAATTTCGTGGAATGTGGGTAGTGGTTATGATCGATTTGATCTAAAAGAAGGAATAGTGTGTATTTTTCGTTGGGGATTTCCTGGAAAAAATCGTCGAATCTTCCTCCGATTCCTTATGAAAGACATTCAATCAATCAGAATAGAAGTTAAAGAGGGTATTTATGCTCGTCGGGTTCTTTATATGGAAATCAAAGGACAGGGGTCCATTCCCTTGACTCGTACCGATGAGAATTTGACTCTACGAGAAATTGAACAGAAAGCCGCTGAATTGGCCTTTTTCTTGCGTGTACCAATTGAAGTATTTTGAAAAAAGTGAAGACTTTTGTAGCAAAAGGGAAAAAACGATAGCGCCAGACGAACTATGCTTAGAACAAAAAAAAGTAAACGTACATGGAATAATCCTAAAACGAAATAGTTTTTGTCCATCTATCCTTTTTTGTTAATCAACGTTTTTTATCTTTTTTGTACTCTTTATAATAATAACTTTTCTGTCTTGTTTTGACACTCATTTTTTATCATCACAGTATTCTTCAGAAATTTCTCTCAATTATTCCTATACAGTGGCCACCGGCGATGTTTTTTTTTTCGACATTTTTTTGATATTTTGAGAAAATAAAACCGGGAATTCTTTCGTCTCGAAATTCAAATCTATTTATTATTTAATAGATATTATTTGCAAAAATGGCTCTTTCGTGCCTTTATCGAAAGGCTTCAATTTGATTATATATTTGGAAACAATATTCTATATAAGAGTCTATTTTATTTCTTCATTCAATTTAATTTGAAGTCAACTCTTTCTTATTCTAGTTCTGTTTTTCTATAGTATGTTTATGTATTCTTTCTAAATTTAAGGACCAACCTATGGACTGAATCAGAAATAAAAAACCGGGACTAGAGTTACGGGCTCGATGACTTGTAATGGAATAGAACTGATACTTGATAGGAATATTAGTATCGTATAGAGTCGACGAATGAAGTGAGTTCATTTAAAAATTCACAGACGAGCAAGAGCAAATGGCAAAAAAAAAAAGCATTTATTTCCCTTCTATATCTTGCATCTATAGTATTTTTGCCTTGGTGGATCTCTCTCTCATTTACATTTAATAAATGTCTGGAATCTTGGGTTAATAAGTGGTGGAATACTAGGCCCTCCGAAATTTTTTTGAATGATATTCAAGAAAAGAATATTCTCAAAAAATTCATAGAATTAAAAGAACTCTCCTTCTTCGACGAAATGATAAAGGAATACCCGGAAAGGCAGTTACAAAAGTTTCACGTCGGAGTCTACAAAGAAATGATCCAATTGATCAAGATGGACAATGAAGATCGTATCCATACGATTTTACATTTCTCAACAAATCTAATTTCTTTACTTATTCTAAGTGTTTATTCTATTCTAGGTAATGAAGAACTTATTTTTCTTAACTCTTGTCTTCAAGAATTCCTATATAATTTAAGTGACACAATAAAAGTTTTTTCTATTCTTTTATTAACTGATTTATGTATAGGATTCCATTCGCCCCATGGTTGGGAACTAATGATTGGCTCTATCTACAAAGATTTTGGATTTGCTCATAATGAACAAATTATATCCGGTCTTGTTTCTACTTTTCCAGTTATTTTAGATACAATTTTTAAATATTGGATCTTTCGTTATTTAAATCGCGTATCTCCGTCACTTGTAGTGATTTATCATTCAATGAATGATTGAAAAAGGATCGACCGATCAAATTATATATAATGTTTGTTACTTTGTACATTAGCAAAACAGTCAAAATTGTACTTATTCTTTCTACCCACCCGGGAGATTCCTTCAATATTCCAGTAACATTATTTCAGTAAATCTAAATAGCAGAATCATAGATAGGAAACTATACTAGTGACTTATCTAATTTTATTGTAGAAATTTTCGGGATAAATGATTGGACTATGCAAACTAGAAATACCTTTTCTTGGATAAAGGAAGAGATTATTCGATTCATTTCCGTATCACTATTAATATATATAATAACCAGGGCACCCATTTCAAATGCATATCCCATTTTTGCCCAACAGGGTTATGAAAATCCACGAGAAGCGACAGGCCGTATTGTATGTGCCAATTGTCATTTAGCTAACAAGCCCGTAGATATCGAGGTTCCACAAGCGGTACTGCCTGATACTGTATTTGAAGCAGTTGTTCGAATTCCTTATGATCTGCAACTGAAACAAGTTCTTGCTAATGGTAAAAAAGGAGGCTTGAATGTGGGTGCTGTTCTTATTTTACCTGAGGGGTTTGAATTAGCCCCTCCCGACCGTATTTCGCCCGAGATTAAAGAAAAGATGGGAAATCTGTCTTTTCAGAGCTATCGCCCCACTAAAAAAAATATTCTTGTGATAGGTCCCGTTCCTGGTCAAAAATATAGTGAAATCACCTTTCCTATTCTTTCCCCGGACCCCACTACTAAGAAAGACGTTCATTTCTTAAAATATCCCATATATGTAGGCGGGAACAGAGGAAGGGGTCAGATTTATCCCGACGGGAGCAAGAGTAACAATAATGTTTATAACGCTACAGCGGCGGGTATAGTAAGCAAAATCATACGAAAAGAAAAAGGGGGATACGAAATAACCATAGTGGAGGCATCTGATGGACGTCAAGTGGTTGATATTATTCCTCCAGGCCCCGAACTTCTTGTTTCAGAGGGCGAATCCATCAAACTGGATCAACCATTAACGAGTAATCCTAATGTGGGTGGATTTGGTCAAGGGGATGCGGAAATAGTACTTCAAGATCCATTACGTGTACAAGGCCTTTTGCTCTTCTTGGCATCGGTTATTTTGGCACAAATCTTTTTGGTTCTTAAAAAGAAACAGTTTGAAAAGGTTCAATTGTCCGAAATGAATTTCTAGATCCACAGATTTTCAATACCAAGCTCTAAAAAGAACCCCGATTTTTGTTGGAAAATTTGTTATGGAATTCTATCAAAAAAATTCTGAAAAGTCTTTAGGCTTTTTTATTTTAGTTTTCTATCTTATATCATACATTACATTTTTTGAGAATTACTTGTAACGCATTACTAGTTATAGTATGTATACTGTGAAGAAGACTATTTGACTTTACTTATTTATTTCTTTGTTTTTTCAATCAAAACCGAAGCGGTATGATTATGTCACTATTGTCCGATTTCAATGCCATGCCATTTAAAATTCCATCGAATGAATCAATAGTTTTCTATTCTAATAGATATAGAATGCTATTTAACTCAATTTAACTCAACACTAACCATAAGATAAATAAGCAGAAAATAGAAACCAAAGTATCAAAAAAATGAATGAGAGGAAGAAAGCATTCTAATTCGAAAAGGGATTAGTTGTATTCCTAATCTTTGACACAAGAAAAGGAATTTTCCACAACCCTTTCTTGTGTCGAAATAATAATCATTCTTGATCCCGTTCGTTAAAGATTCCTATTCGTCTCGTAGTTTCTATTTTTTTCTAGGTTTATCATAACCCTTCTTTTAGATTTATTCCATAAATAAAGTATGGACGGATACTATCGAGGAACAGATGTTCTGAATCAAGTAATTTAAGTTAATTTTCTAAAAATATCATAAAAAACGAAACTGGAGTTTTTTGAAACATCCGAAAAAAATCCTTTTTTTGTTATCATTTAGATTTAGACGAATAAAATATTATGATTATTAAGAGCTCAACGGGACCTACCCCCTCTTTCTTTGTCTTCTTCGAGGGGGATTCCGTTGAGTTCTTACGCTTTCATGTCCTGTCTACAACTCAGTTTACCCAATTACTAAAGGGATGAACCTAATCCAGAATATGAACCATAAAAGAAAATACCGAGTAAACCGATCACAAGAATACCAGCTACAGTACCTATTATCCAAAGAGGAATCCTTCCAGTAGTATCAGCCATTTGTCCTACTTTCCTCCACATTTCATCAGGTGGTCGTGCTAGAGACATAAACAGCCATAGATAATTATGAGATGATATCCTTCCGAATGGGATAAGAGAATTCCTACTATTATTTCCTATTCTTCTTTTTTTAATTGAAGAAATAATTGGAAAATAAAACAGCAAGTACAAAAATGAGTAATAACCCCCAGTAGAGACTGGTACGATTCAATTCAACATTTTGTTCGTTCGGGTTTGATTGTGTCGTAGCTCTATGATTCGGATTAGGTTTATCGTTGGATGAACTGCATTGCTGATATTGACCCCAAAAAAGAAACGGTAGGTACAGCTAGTCCGTGAACAGCTAACCATCGCACAGTAAAAATTGGATAGGTTCTATCTATAGTCATTTGTGCCTCCTAAAAAGATCTACTAAATTCATCGAGTTGTTCCAAAGAATCAAAGCGGCCTGTTATTAATGGAACTCCTTGTCGGCTCTCTGTAAAATACTCGTTTGGACGGGGACTTCCAAATACATCGTAAGCTAAACCCGTGCTGACGAATAACCAACCCGCAATGAATAGGGAAGGTATAGTAATGCTATGAATGACCCAGTATCGAATACTGGTAATAATATCAGCAAAAGAACGTTCTCCTGTGCTTCCAGACATCTTAAGCTCCGCATATTCTTGTACAGTCAAAGGGGGGTCGACTCCGTAAAAGATGAAATCAGTAAACAGAAATTCACTGAAATCAGATCTTTGTGAGATCGTCAATAGTGTACCAAGGGTTTCTTTAGAGTATACCGAATCAGTATAGCTATCCTTCTTCTGACACAGCAACGAAATTTCCCAATCAGGATCGAAACGAAGTGTTAGAGAATTTCTTTTTTCTTGTTGCGTGTACATGTAGAATTTGTACTATTCAACTATTCAATAGAGTCTTTCTCAAATTCCTGTATCATTACAATTCCTGCAGTAACTGTAGTAGTGCTTGTAATATAATAATCTAAAGGTTTTCTCAATTTCTCTATTATTAGCTTCGGACTCGAAACTGAGGATGAGGTAAAAATACTAGATAGTATTAGTATTCAAGGAAAGAAAACAACGAATAAATAAAATAAATAATAATCAATATTCGTGATGCACAGAGTGTTGTTGTATTAGACCCAAAGAAAAGGGTCTTTCTTGAACTAATTACAAAGATGGAGCTTTGTATGTAATTAAGAAAGACAAAATATAAAAATAAGTTCAATTTAAAGTAAAAAAGTAAAGGACATTTTCATTATAAGCTAAGATCACTTGTCGTTCTAAACTGAAAATTAAGTAAAAAAAAGGATTCGTCGATACAATCAAAAAATAATCAAAATAAAAAAGATTTGGTAATTTTATTTCAGAGTGATTCAAAGAAAGTTTCCTTTTTGAATGAAGTTCTAAAACAACTATTTTTACTTTTTTTTTTCTAATTATTTAAAATTTATTTAAAATATTCTATATATACTAATATATATTAGATATTGTATTGTTTATTTAGTGTACTCAACTCAAGAGTTGCTCAATGAATCGGTTGATTCGAAATTTCGAAATGGATAGATGTCACAAATGATGAATTGATTTCTTACCTATGTTACTCTATTTTTGTTAGGACCGCCTTCTATAATTATAATAATTGATGAATCAAAAACTTTCAATTGGTATTTTTGTTTATCTTCGTATCTTTTATAAATGGAAATTTAGGGAAGTGCTTTAGAAACATATGTATAAAAAGAACATATTTCATTTAGTCTCTTTATGCCTACTATAACTAGTTATTTCGGTTTTCTACTAGCAGCTTTGACTATAACCTCAGCTCTATTTATCGGTCTGAACAAGATAGGACTTATTTGAAATTAATTGAACGAACAATTCATAAAAACCTTCTGTGGTAGTTCATTTATTCTATAGTTACTTAACGTGTCAATTTTCAATTTTTGGTCATTGAGATTCATGAGTAATACCGATTAAAATTTAAGGATAGATATTACCTCTCCTTTTCCCCTTTCAAAGAAATTGAAATGATTGAAGTTTTTTTATTTGGAATTGTCTTAGGTCTAATTCCTATTACTTTGGCTGGATTATTTGTAACTGCATATTTACAATACAGACGTGGTGATCAATTGGATCTTTGATTAATTAACATCTCTTTTTTTGATTGACCTCCTACTTGTTTTAATCTACAGGAGGTCAAATTCAGATTGTTGTTCAATTATTTTTGTGTTATTTTCGACCTAACAAATAAGAAGAATCGAAGCACGCTCTGTAGGACTTGAACCTACGACATCGGGTTTTGGAGACCCACGTTCTACCAAACTGAACTAAGAGCGCCTTAATTATCTTAATTATTATTACAAGAATAACTTTGTAACCCAACTTAGATATATATACTATCCTAGAGAATTTTATTCTCTATTGCTTAGGTATATCCAATTTTAATCAATCTCAATTGATTCCTCGTTACTGCTCATAAGATAAGTAATAGGTAGGGATGACAGGATTTGAACCTGTGACATTTTGTACCCAAAACAAACGCGCTACCGAGCTGCGCTACATCCCTTTCAATTGGTCTACAGTGTCATTGTAGAGAATCCTTGTCTTGTTTTCCACATTTTTATTTCTTTTATTGAAATACAAAATTCAATTATCTTGTCATTTTTTCTTTTTTAGGCTCATATCATATAATAATAATAGACTTATATACGTACTAAATAAATATAATATGAAACCCATCGTAAAAAAATGAATATTTTGGGGGAATTCTCAAACAGAAAGGGACGTATTTGTTGTTTTAAGAAAAAACTAATGAATATCTATTAAATCATTGTACATTTCAAGTTGTATATTCCAATTTGTCTTAGGGATTCTGCGTAGAAATACAAGTGTCAGTCATTAACTACATATACGCATCTGTTTCTATATGTATTAGCATTATGTATTACAAATTGTATTAAAATTACAATAACGAATAAAAAGAAGGAGGATTTTAAATGCGAGATCTAAAAACATATCTTTCCGTGGCACCGGTAGTAAGTACTATATGGTTTGGGTCTTTAGCAGGATTATTGATAGAGATCAATCGTTTATTTCCGGATGCGTTGATATTCCCCTTTTTTTAATGATAGTAATTGGGAAGGGGTGACGAAAATTAAATTAGAGATACAATCAAAAATTTGTGACTAATCCCTCCCCTTCTCTTCTTATCTTAATTTTTAGAATTCAAAATAAATTCGAAAAAGAATAAAAGCGGATTGACCCGCGTGAAACTAAGAACTTGGGTTTCCAGGCTAAAAATTTAATTAATATTTAATTAATAATAGAATGAGAAAGAAAATGGACTAGCTGTGGCAACAATATCATACAAAAAACTTCAATATTGTACAGCGATTATAAATTCTAAATACTAAATTAAATATTTAAGTAGAAATTTTTATATTACTTATTATTACTATATTGATTGCAACGAAATCTTTAATAATTGGATTTCAAGTTAGCAACTTCTATTTTTTTCCTTCCTTTCTTCTTCTTCGCTTCGGATTGGAAAATAGAAAAATAGAAGAGTTGAATCAATCAAAAACCCAAAGGAGGTTCATGGCTAGGGGTAAAGATGCCCGAGTAACGATTATTTTGGAATGTACCAGTTGTGTTCGAAACCGCGTGAATAAGGAATCAATAGGCATTTCCCGATATATTACTCAAAAAAAATCGACATAATACGCCTAGTCGATTGGAATTGCGAAAATTCTGTCCTTCTTGTTACAAACATACGATTCACGGGGAGATAAAGAAATAGATCGAACCGATCGCTCGCGTGTCCGCCTTACATTCCAAGGAAGACGAAAAAGACATATTCTATAATAACAATAATTACATATTATATATAACAACAATTATATCATATCCAACGGATCCTATATTTATTTAAATATAAACAAAAAAATTCTATTTCTTAATTTGAAATCATTTTT